TTCGTCTGTTTGTGTTTTTTTCTGGATTTTCCTCCAGCAACATGCAACATATGTTTGACCAATTTTGCATTCAAATACCCCTAATAAATCAAATAAATCGAATAAAAACTTGTATTGTTCTTTGCTGGTATTAAATATTATTAAATTTGAATTTAATTAATTTTTTGTATTTTTCTGTGTCGACAGATATTAGTCGACATTAAATAAATAAATATACCGAATTCGGTGAGGACGAAGGAGCATATTACATACTTGTGTACAACTGACAGAAGAATTCGCACACTTGTTCAACATATGTTTTCCCTTTGTGGAGGAATGCTGCACGACAGAGGCTAATAAAAGATTAGTCACAAATGCGCTTAAATTTGATCCGTCTGTGTTTAATTATGTGACCCAAGTTTGTTATTGTTTTGTTACCGGCGTTTCTTCAGGTAGGTGGTGGCTTAAATGTACCTTCCTTGAGATGGAGGAGCACAATTTGAGGCTGGCAGACGGCCAGGAATTCCATTTGCTTGTATGCAATAAAACAATTTAATTAGATTTTATGTGAGCCACCGAGCCAAGAAAATGAAAGCAAATAAACCACAATAAACTGCAAGGAAGCGAAACATCTGGCACTTGCTGCCGTAATTCAATCTCTGCTTTCCAAATAACCGCATGTGTCTCGTCCGGGCCGGGTTTATGTCCTTGTCTTTTGGCAATTATGATCTTAATGCCCTGCCTGTCCGCCTGTCCGCCCGTCTGTCTGTTTATCTGTGTGTCTGTCTATCTGGCTGTCGGTCTATCTGTCCGTGTGTGTGTAGCAATTATGAGCAACACAATGGCAGCAAAACTGTTCCTTTCGCATTGTGCACAGCATTTTCAATTTGCCAAACTGTCGCACATCATAAGCAACTGCTAGGCTAGTGCCAAGTGAAAATGCCAGCGTGATTGCAGCATTCGCAACTTAACTTTAAAGATGCCTCCATTTTTCAATTTGCCCCGAATATTTATGCACATTCTTCACACTGGCATTTCCGGCCAAGCGCAAACACAAGCTCCTGTGATTTATGTATGTGTTTAAATTTCAGTGTGTGTGTGTTGCGTACATTCGGGCCAAGCCACTCCAACATTTGCAGTCCAGTACGAATGGCATCGAGCTCATATCTGAGATACTTTCGGCTAAGGTCAGGTCATTGGTCAATGGCCAATTTGTCTTCTGTGCGTGTCTTGGCGAAGACATTTTCGAATTTGTTTGTTTGCCTAAATGACTGTTAAGCATTTACTGGCTCCAGCATTAAATGCTAGATGTGCTTCAAAATCTCTGTTGGACTAATATTTTATTAAAGGCACTTAAATCTTCAACTTGCCCCAAACATGTTATACTAGACGTTAACTGATGTTTTAGCTTAAGCCAGGTTTATTATTACAGGCCTTTTATTTTTCCAACTAATTTCATGTGTATTAACTAAATTTCCTATCGAATTGCGAATTATGTATATGTCAATTCCATTTTGTGTGAATGCCTTCGGCCTGTTGAATTCGCAATTGTCAGTTTTAATTACCTGTGCTGCCACATTTCAACTTAGTGCTGACAATCACAATTATTGCGCATACGACACGTGCCCCAATGCTATTCTGCTTTACATGTCAACGCTTTTGATAAATGCCACGAATTTCGCATTTGGCGCACTGCTTTGTGCAGAAGACAAGACGGAAGCCAGAAAAACAAGCCAATTATCTCAATGCTCAACTGCCTGCCTCCCATTTTTGCTTTGTCAAAAGAGGGCGTGGCTGTTTGCAACGTGTTGAGCCTGCCTATTATTTGTGGCACGTTTCGTAGGCCTCAAAAAGCGTGGCAAAAAAAACGAAGCAAAATACACGTTGGTGAATTAGGCCAGATTTGTGGCGTGTGGCACCTTTGTTGTTGTATACTCTTGTAACGGATTCCATTTATTTTATTGCCTCGCAGAGGTCAATACAGCAATAACCACCTGTCCATCTGTTTTTCTATCTGTCTGTCCATCTGTCTGCCTGATATAAACGAAGTGCCTGGATTGGAATACCAATTCATATAACTGCCGTAAGAACAATCGGTCTGACTTTTCTTTAAAAAGCTTCAACGGTCGCTGTGAAATTCGCCCTGACTACGAAACCGGTCGAGATTTGAAATTTATTGCAGTAAAACTGCAAAAAAATACAGTTTTATTTTTAAATGAGGTCACCAAACTAAAGACAAACATACCAAAAATAGCTGAACCAAAATCAGTATTTGCGAGTGCTATAACTCTCCTGATATATTAAGAAAAAAATAATTAAGAAATAACTGTTAATTTTTTGTTACATTTATTTCGAGTTGCAAGAGTATGTTTTAATTGTTACCTGTTAGAGTTAGCATTAATTCATTTAATTAATTTCGAGTTGCTAGAGTATGTTAAATTCTACCTGTTACAGTTAGCATTTTCTTTCTTGATTTTATTTTTGGTTTGTTGGTATAGACAGTTAATAAAAAAAAAGGTCACCAGGTTTTCTAAGCTGTGAAATCCTCTCACCTGGCCTAAGCCTTCATGCATTTTTTCCGGTCTAAGCCACAAGACTTTGGTGCCCATAAAGCTATTCATAAATTTCTCTGTTGATGACATAATTTACGTGGTTAAGGCTTCAATTTCTAATTTGATTGCTTAGGAACCAAAATGAACATCTTTAAATTTATATTGTAGATAAAAATATGAAGAAGGCTGAGTTCCGCATTCTGCTAGTTTTTTGCATGCAACATTTTTTTAGTTATTTTATAAAAATTTGCATTTAATCCAAAATATGGCCTAGCACATCATAAACAATATTATGCAGTTATCTTAATGATGCTGAGAATAAACTGACTCAATCGTACTGCAAATGTAAAACATAACAAAGAGACTTGGCCAAATATTAAAGGTTAAGTTTAAAGGCAGTTTCTAAATTGCTTATTGTTTTTAGTTCGCAGTCGGATTAAATAATATTTGCTCACATAAAGTGCAAAATAATAGTTAAGTGAATTGGTCAAAAGGAAAAAAAATCCTTTTCAAATCACCGAGGGGCCGAGCGTACTAATTCTAATACTCCCCGCAATTTATGTTTTGTTTGTTTGTGTTTTACAACTTGAAACACAAAATGGCTTTCAGTTTTCTTTGTGCGCTTACAATGAGCTGCAGCAGACAGTGCCACAAAGGGGATTTTTGTTTTGGCATATTGCATTTTGCAGACGGCCGCAGGCTCAAAGGAAATTTAATTATCACTGACAAGACGATAGAGAGAGAGAGGGAGAGAGAGAGAGAGAGACAGAGACAGAGATAGAGGGAGAGAAAGAGGGGTGTCTGGACAGGATGCTGTGGAGTTTAGGTGTTACACTGCCCGTCCACAGTACTCAAACGCAAATTGCCATAGATATGAAAATGGGCCATCATCATTTGCCTATCATGAGGAGCATTGGAGCATTTTGATGCCAAGAACGAGAAAAGGGTCGAGATTGAGAACGAATAGGGCGTGACTGGGCTATTAGCTGCCCCCAATAACATGTGCACAAAGCAAATGGCTACTCAGCAGATGCAGCAGAAAGATCATCATCATCATCAACAATACCATTATTAGCGTGGGGCATTCAATGCACTTGAATGGGAGTTCAGGGTATTTGTAATGATTGAATTTGAATTACAGTCCGCAGCAGCAGCAGCAACAGCAGCAGTAGCAAGAAAAAACAACAAGAAGAACAACAACAATAGCTGCTAGAAAATCTCCAATGTGTCTATGTGCAGCTGGCAGCTTTGCTTTTGCCCCTTTGGCTGTGCCCCCTTGCACCCGTAACTGGTGCACCACGTCTCGCTTCCTGTTAGCACTATTTTTGTTATCTTCCTGCAACTGTGCAGCTTTGCCTTGGCAATTGTCTGCTTAGTTTCTCGCCGCCTGCAGCTTCATATCCTTTCTGACTTTAGGCTATTGCCATGTTTTTTGCTCTCCCCTTCTCCTTTTTTATCCTGCAGCACCAATGTGTAAAAGGGGAAAGCTGACCCGTTGGCAAAATGCTTAAGAATTGAGAAATGAACAATTGATGCGTTTTAAATGCTGCAACTGTGAATGAGGCGAATTGCAAGCTGTTTCTTTTAGAAAAGCTTCTTCGGACATGAGCGCTAGTTCACACAAGAAAACTCGCTTCAATGGAATTTAGCTCCAAGTAAAATTCTGTCTTTGATGAGAGCCACATTGTTGCAGTTAGAAATCGATTTAATAGCTGAAGTTACTTTAAAAAATTCCATTTCTTTGTTTTCTTATACCCTTCTTAGTATATTTTTAAAAAATGCTTGAGCTTTTACATACACTCTCAAAAAACGTGATGAATTTTAGAAATTAACTTGGCAACTTGGCATTTTATTCGAATTGTTGTGTCTTTAAAAATAACATGGTTTTTGTTCTTAGAGAAAATATAACTAACTACCAGTTTTTTGTCTATGTGTATATAGAACGCCAACATTAGCTTTTTGTTACTTGTGTTATTTTTAAATATTAGTATTTTAAGAAATAGCGATTGCATATTTAGTGTTTGAAAATATATTATATTATTAAGAAGTTGATATCTGAAAAATAGAGGGAGTCGTTTCTAATTTAAATAAATGTTTGACATTTTATTCAATAACAGGAACATGTATCTAGTCTTTAGGGTGATTTTCTAAAATAAAAAGAGAGTTTTTAATCTGAGTATGAGCATATGTACATATATATTTGAGCCGAGTCAATAAATTTTTCTACGAAATTTAGAGATGTCCATATTAGATTTCTATAATATATAACTCTCGTAACACGATATTTAAGAGCAATTATAGCAATAACTTCTCAGCAACACCAATCGATAATGTTTTAAATGTTTCGATTACCTTTTAATTAAACAAATAGTTACAACGATAATTGCCAACTTTATATTTTTCAAGTAGAGTTTTGCTGTTACATTAAATGGGGTGCTACAAGCGAGATTGTAACTTTGTTCTAAACTTCAACACTTTAAGGAGACAAATACAGATTTGATAGATTAAACAAAATTTCAAATTGGAACCCGAGAAATGCTGCCTATCGATCCGACGAATGAAACCGCCTATTCATTTGTGGTTTTTGGCGCTTCAGGTCATTTGGCGCTCAGTAGAATCTTTCCAGCACTATGGCAACTCTATCGGGACAATCGTCTGCCGCAGGGTACTAAAATATTCACCTTTTGTCGAACCCAAATAGAGCTCGGCAAGTATCGCATCAAGTGTGTGCCCTACATGGGTCTCAGCAAGGATCGCGACCCATTGAAGTACAACAGCTTTTGGACCAATGTGCACTGCTGCTGTGGCAAATACGACAACCCAGAGGACTACGAGGACCTCACAGCAGCGATGGTGCGACAGGAGATGAAGCACAACATGTCTCTGGCCAATCGGATATTCTATCTGGCAATTCCGCCCATCGTCTTCGATCAGGTTACGCTCAATGTCAGCCGGAAGTGCCTGACGATTACGGGCTGGAATCGTGTGATTGTCGAGAAACCCTTTGCAAAGAACGAACTCACCTATCGACCCTATCAGACACAGCTCTGTCAGACGTTCAAGGAGTCGCAGATCTACATGATTGACCACTACCTGAGCAAACAGGTGATTCAGAATCTGTTTGTGGTACGCTTCACGAATCACATCTGGTCGGAGACGTGGAACAACAAACACATTGCAGCGATTATGATCAGCGTGAAGTGTGAGAAGCCGGTGCGAGCTAAGGCCGATTACTTCAATCAGTTTGGCATCATCAGGGATTGCATGACCAATGACATGATGCAGCTGCTCGCGATGCTGACCATCGAGCAGCCGTACAGCAACTATGTGGAGGACATGCGAGACGAGAAGCTGAAGGTCCTCAAGCAGATCATCACACTGGACATGAGCAATGTGGTACTGGGTCAGTATAGCAACAATGGCATGGAGACCGATCCCATCAAGGTGGGCTACACACAACACTCCTACATACCCAACGAGTCACTGACACCCACCTTTGCCATGGCCACTCTGCGCATCCAAAGCAAACGCTGGACGGGAGTTCCGTTCATTCTTCGGGTGGGCAAAGCCCTCAATGAAAGCAAAACGGAGGTGAGAGTCCAGTACAAATCGATGGATTGTGATCATAGAGATGATAAACAGATCATTCCTAATGAGCTCGTCCTGCGCCTGTCGCCACGGGAGCAGCTCTTCATGCGCATGATGCTTAAGCAGTCGGGACAGAATCTTTGTCTCCGCGAAACGGAACTGAATCTTATGCGATGGGACAGAACCGTGCCCGATAATTTTCCGAGTCTATTGCTGGACGTCTTCGCCGGCAATCAAATGCTCTTCATGCGCACCGATGAGCAATGTGAGATCTGGCGCATCTTCTCGCAGGTGCTGGACTTCATCGATGTGCACCGACCCAAGCCGCTGCTCTATGACTTTGGCTCCCGGGGACCAATGGCCGCCTACGAAATGGCAGCCAGGCATGGATTTAAATTCTATGAATCGGACGAGTGGCATGCGAAGAGAACCAGCTCAGCTGACTCAGCCGAAGCTGATCCCAGTCGAGCTCAGCAGACGATGCCCAATTGGATGAGTTCCCCTACAATGAGCTAGCATAGTTTTCTGTTGTAGTCGGTCCACATACAATACTATACATATTTGCCATAAATTAATTCCACACTTGCAAATCTCAAATAGACAACAAAAGTTTTTTAATTAACCGAGTGGAAGCATTGGGCCTGCAGCTGCTCTCACTGCCCATCGACCAGAAAGTCGAAAAGAACTTAGGTTTCTGGCTTCTTGTTTGTGCTCTAGCCTGGCGAAGTATAAATAACACACATCATTTGGCCGTTGTCGTTTGCTTTGGCCTTTAAAGTAAATGAACAACAGAGAGTTGAAGGAGAGAAGACAATCAAAAAAATATTTATGAATAAAACATGATAAAACTATGCCAAAAACCAATAAGAACATTGCATAAATTATATTCCCAACTTCGTAATACACTGCTTATTTATTTATTTTATTATTTAAAAGTAACAAACTGAATTAAAGAATATTTAAAATTAAACTTAAATTAAAAAGTATGAAATATTTATAACAATTCTGGGGGTATTTAAATGTAAAATGTTCCAACATTTGAACCCAGAAAAAACCCAATCAGACAAAAAAAAAGTATTATAAATTAGTTAAGCCCCATCATAAGTGCATGCGAAGAAAGTTATTCTCGGAATCGATTTCAGCATTTAGTAATTTAACTACAAACATCACACCTAAGGAGGGAAGCTTAATAAATAGCTGTCTATCGGTGTGTAAAGAGAGCACAGATTCCAATCTGCTTTGGTGAATCGGATATTGAGGAGACCACACAAAAGATCCATATTTCAGAATTGGACGTACAAAAGAAGTGAAAAGTGTCTTAGCCATCAAATTCCTTTGACCAACGCTTAATAAAACCAAGAAGTTGAAGAACTTTGTTGACACTGAATTTAATATGGCTATCGAACTTAAACTTATGATCAAGAAGTAAACCTAAATCATTTACTTCATTCAAGTGTCATCCCATCGAGTGTGTAACTAAAAATCTAAAAATATGAGTTTCACATTTAGTAGTTGTAGCTCTAAATAAAAATCATGTGTTAAGAATTAGATGAAATTAAATTTAATATTAAACTCGGAAAATATGTAATCGATCTTGGTAATGCAAACAGACTGAAACTAATAAAAGCAGTTTAAATATTAGCAAAGAAGAACTACTTAGAAAAATGAGAAAATCAATTCAAGATGTAGAAAGAGAATTTAAAATTTAACAATTCCCCAGCGCATTAAGCAGAGTGCTAGTAAAGAGTATGGCAGTAGTTGAAAAAATGTGTCAGCTAGTCAGTATGGCCAGATATCAATTTAATCGTAAGGCAGTGTACAGAATATAAATTTTCTCTGGTCAGGCAGCAAGTTGGCTGGCAAAAGTTTGCAATAAGTGAAAAGCAGTTGATGATGGAAAAAAAGTGCAAGAAAAAGCAGAAGCTTGTTGAAAGCATAGTCGAGAAAGTTACTTTGATTTCTTAATGTAACTTTGTTTGAACTTACATTGCTCACACGCCACACTTTGGTTTATTTTATATCTTTCTTGATTTTTATTTTTTATTTATTTTTTGTTTTATTTGGTTGAGAAGTTTTTGTGGGTATTCCGTGTTGACGATGTCCGGTTATCGAACGCATTTTCGATTCATCTCTGAATATAAATAAGGCGATCCTGTCAATGCCTTCTATTGCAATTGGAGCGTACTTCAAAGCTAATTAGCTTTTGCAGTTTGTAGCTCGTTAGACGCCGGTTTAATTAGCAGTAGATGCATTAAGAAATCCCTTGTTTCTAGCATTAACAATTAGTTCTTAACTTGATTATAAATTGCATTGTACTCTTGCCAGTCATTTAGTTTGCAGGTCACCCCAGATTCTTAAGTCCACCCCATCATGTGTATACTTCTACTGCCCTTTTCAGCTCTTTTCAGCCCTTTTCCGTTGCGGCTGCTCCCCCTGCCACTTTTCATGTCCTTTGTTGCGAATATGCTTTAGCATTTTTGGTCCTGCCGCTCCTTTTGTCATTTGTTTGTTCTTTCTTCCTTTTCTTTTATTGTGCCAGCCAAAAAACCAATTCGTTGCGAAAAGATTTAACAGCACGATTCCAGCATTCCTGCTCCATCTCACTCGCACTCTCTCTCTCTCTCTCTCTCTGTCTTTATCGTTGTCTGTCGTTATTATTATTTTTTTTTTTGTAAATTCCATAAAAAATCATTAAGAACAATATTGTCACCCACAATTGAGATGGCGCTTAAGATTATTTATTTATTTATATATTTGTATATTCCTCCTTTTCGCATATAAGTGCTGTCTGCTAGCTCTCGGGCCAAAATGATTTATTATTTTTTGTGGCCTTTCAGATAGTATTTAAATTTGAAACAAAGTGTGTAAAGCATTTAAGAAGATACAATTCAAATTGGGACAATATAAAATATAATGATTTTTTACCTTAAATTTATTTGAGAAAAATTTTCAGTGGACTTGGCTCATACTCTCTTTAAATAATCCAATCTTTATTTATGATAAATAATGCACGAGCTCCAGAACAATTATTTAAATATCTTAAAAGTTAAAATTAGATATCTGTCATAGAGATGAATATGAGTTCTGGTTTGGAAAACTTGGTAGGTTTGTTTTTCTGTACATGTATCTCAGCAGTTACGCTTCTTATGTTGTTGCTTGAGTTCGGGGTTTTACCTAGAAAATTGAATTTGTCTGGCTATTAGTCTTTCTATTTGTTCTTCTGCGCTACACCCGATTTTTTTTTCCACTTTAATGCTTTCGAATAAGCTGCCTTACAACATGCACCATGATTTACTCTCTCTTGCTATCCCTTTCACGCTCGGTCTCTTCATTTATCTGCTCTTGATTCGACTTAATGTTGCCTCCCTGCGCCTCTTAAAGTGCAGCCCTATTTAATTTCACTTTTTATAGCATAGCCAGAAACTCAAACAATAACCTTCCTCCAACAAACAAACAAAGGCGATAAAAACGAGACCTGGTTACACCTGGTTGGGTATCTCTCTCTCTCTCACAGTCTCTCTTACTCTCTCTCAGTCTCTGTGTATATCTAAAGTGGCAAACGGATTTTGTGTTTGAGAACCATAAAGTGAAATTAAAATGGCTGGCAACGGCAGCTCGGCAGACTGACCAACTCGCCTTGGCTAACCGTAAGGCAAACGGCCAGCCAGCAATACGGGCAATAAACAAAAAAAAAGCAAAATAAAAAAAACCAAACAGCAAAAATAATGCTGGGAAATTGTAGTTTTGTTGGCCATCGACTGCTTCATAGTTCTTAACTATCGTTTGGTGGCTGCTATCTTCCCAGCATTTGCAGTTTCAGTTGCAGTTGCTCTTGTTCTAGTTGCTCTCTCTCTCTCTCCTTCCCCTTGCTGTTGTTGTCAGACTTACAAGCAACTACAACAGCGATTACAACAGTGACACTCCACTCCACTCTACTCATCATCCCTCCCTCCCATTCCACACTCCACACGGATGTGGGGAAATGGAACGGTTTGCGGTTGCGGTCGGTCTGCCAACGTTTCACTAGCTGCGGGCAACATTTCAAACTGCTTAATTTAAAAGCGAGCCGCAACTGCACAAGGTAGCACAACTGTTTAGGGTTTGGCCAAAAAATAGTTGGCTAAATGTTTGACCAGCTCAGTCGTTGTAGCTGATAGTTTTTTCAGTGCTGCTGGTTGCGGTCTTCTGAGGTGCCATCGACAAGATGCTCCTAATCAAAGCAGATTTTTGGGTAGATTTTCAGTCATGGACGAGTTGGCTTAGGTGCGAGGGCAGTATTAGATAGTCTATTAACCAAATTCCACACTATATGCATGAAGGGAGTATATGATAAGGGTGTTGTCTGTGTGGGGGGGACTCTGTATACTTAATGTCATGTCAGTAAGTATGAGTTATTCACAATAAAATGAGTTCAATTAAATGTAGCTTATAAATGTGTGACAGGATAATTGACTATATATATAATATATGATATAATATAATAATACATAATATAATATAATTGACTATATATATAATACATATATAATAAAAATAATAATAATAATTATAATATTAATAGAATTATTAATAACAATAATACTAAATTACTAAGTTTGTCCAATCCTTTCAATAATTTTCAATATTTATCACATCCTTCAGCATATCCTTTTTTCTATATATGATTTATTTTCTCCTTTATAAAAATTGTTGACTGTTTTTAGTCTAAATTATATAAATAAATAAGTCACAAATTAAATATCTTTTCATTCTTACATTCATGCATTGCGTGCACAACACTTGTATTTCCCATTTGTAACACTGATTAAAAACATTGCTGAAAAAACCTGAAACAAACGATGTCAAAAGCGCAATAGCTAGCGACATGAAGAAAATTGTTTAAATATATTATTATTTAAGTTTCTGTGCATGTTGCACGATACATTCTTGCTCGTTGCATTAATTAGAATGCAAGAAATTCATGGTTTACAAAATTATAAGGCAATTATAATGTGGAATCTTGCTTGAATATTAGCCAGTTTTTCTACTTTGAATTTACTTTGAATATTATAATCAAATCAGGGTTTGCCAAACAAACTGCAAATGTTTAAATGTTTATATTAGCAACATGTTATTCAAAGCCTTGAGGCTAACCTCGAGACTTGTTTCGCTTGCTATCTGTGATTTTTCCCAAGCATTTCACAGTATTTCCACTCTGCTTCACATTTTCCATTTTCTTTCCGTCTACCGTTTGCCACAGAGCTGACACTGGGTACGTTGATAACGTTTCAGTTTCTTTCTACCCCCTTCGTATTGAGTTAGATAGAGGTAAATAGACGAGGGCAGAAAAAGGTTTGTTAATTTCAAAGATATTGCAAAATAATTGCTTATTTACCATTTTCGACGTAATGACAGTTGTGCAATTTGTCAAAGCCACAAGTTGCTGCTGCAATACGAACGGTGAAGATACCATTTAATACTCTGACTTTAAGACATTTAAAATTTTAAATCTATATATATATATGTCTGTTGACGAAATGGAGTTGAGTTGAGTGCACTTTTATTGTACTGTGACACCGTACGTGGTGCACGTAAAAGTGCGGTTTATGGTTCATTTG